AGAATTCGTATCGAAATACGTAAAATTTTGCTCTTCTCGATTTTTAAAATAGATCTTCTTTCGAATTTTAACTAAATTGATGATTTTTCTTTTGATTTTTAAAGCATTAGTATTTTTCAATTACTTTCGAATCTCTCTTTTCGGAACGTAATAAAATTCGAATTCGTATGAAAATACTAGGGAAAGCTCTACTTTTTCTGATTTCTTGGAAATTAAAATTAAAATATTTTTCAATTATTTCTGAATTGTGATCTCCAACAATGTACGAAGTTCTACTTTTCTTGAGATTTTTTTTAAGATATTAAAATGTAATATTTTTCGATTATTTTACGAATTACGATCACATTTTGGATTTTAAATACGGAAATTCTGCTTCTCTTGACTTTAAATAACATTCTTGATTAAAACAAGTATTATCTTTATGATAAATAAATAATTGGGGGCAGATATTAAAAGTAGATATTTCACGTGAAATATAATTTTAGATTAATATTTAATTATCTCTGCTAATTTAGGCGATACGCCGATATCGGTGCACCTTTGATATCGGTATATTACGGTCGAAAGGGTAAAAGCTCCGCTTTCGGAGGCCTCTAGAGGATCATACTCTATTTCCTTTATCCCTATCTCTCTCTCTCTCTTTCGTTACCGATACGTTGCTAGCAAAATAACACAATTATTAAAATAAATTCCACCCGATAATTCTACATTATTATTAAAATAAATTCTATAAATCGAACAAATATCACATTTCGAACACGAGCGTAACCAAGCGTGACGCAAACGTTCCACCAGAAAAATAAAATAAAATAAAATAAAACACCCTTGACAATTAATCGCATCGATTGTAAATTACACCGATTCAAAAATCCGAAACCTGCTACTTACGGATTTTTGATTACCTAGCAGATTTACAATCGCGATAAATAACGCTTAAAATAACGTACACGTTACTCATCATTCACGGATGCTCTCCCCATACAAATTTTATCGAATCTTTCTTCCCTCTTTCTCTCTCTGCATCCACGCGAATAAAGAAAACGAGCACGGATCGCACGCTCGAGATAATCTCCCTGGTTACGCAAGACGATCGTTCGTTCCTCCCCCCACCTTCCCCCTGGAAATTTATTCGTAACGCGCGATAAATTTTGCGCCCAGCGAAGGAACGCGCGAAGCAAGCGTTATATATATATATATTAATTGAGTGTTTACCGGCGGCGGTTTCACCACGGGCCAATCCAAGATGATGCGCGCGCATCGAGTGGGCAGAGACTCTCATATAAAAGGAGCGCGGAGAATTCGAAAGGAGAGAGGGTTGGCGCGTTGGTGATTGAACACCTAACGCTGGGCTCGCATAAAATAATTGCATCAACGAACCGACGCTTCGTTCGAGAAGACGACTAACGCGACTTGAACCGGCCCGATTCGACGAAACGGTCCTCGTGTAATTTGAGAACAAGTCGAGAGGATAGGAGTAGAGTAGAGGTTCGTTCGCGATTGTTTCAAGGAGATTGAAAAAAGGTATTATTTTAACGGTGGTAGAGCAGAGCGGATAAGTTTTTATTTCAAATGAAATAAAACAATTCGCGATCTGCTTATTTTATATCAACATTTAATTTTAAATAATTGAGCAGCTCGCGGGAGGATGAATTCTGTTCGTAATTGTTTTAAGGAGATTGAAAAAGAATATATCTGTTCAGTGGATATAAAGTAAAAGATAAAATAAAAATAGATTTATTTTCGACAGTTTTTAAGGTGAACACCAAAACTCTTCGATCCTGGCTATTCGCTCGCGAGAATAATTCACAGGATTTCTATTGGTTCGTTACACTTGATCGAGCATTCATACTTTCCGACATCTTTGCGGCCATTTTAATCCGCGTTATAATAAAAATTTCGTTTCTCGTAAATGGAAGTTTTACGAACAGCTATTCGTAGGCCAGAAAAAGATTTTAAAGAGAGAGATTTCTATCGACAAATATTTCCTATACATTTTATCCTATCTTTTGATTTTATTAACTTACCAGTATTGTTACATTACTTAAATTATATATATATATATATATATATATATATATATATATAT